CGCCGCCCCCTCGCTGTGGACCGCGTGCAGCAGGCGCCCCATCTCCTGCAGCCTCCGGGGCCGCAGGTGCGCGCGCACGTGCTCGCGCTCGAGGGCGCTGACGTCACGGCGGGCGGCGGCGAGCGCAGGGCTCGGGACCCTCTCCCACTCCAGCTCGGGCTCCGGCGCCTTGTCCGCGACCACGGGCTGCATCGCGCCGCCGCCCTTCGCGGCCCCGAGAGGCCGGAGGGCAGACAAGCCAGCGCCGGGCACGGGGCTGAGCTCTGCCCAACCGCAACTGTGACGAGCAACAGGTTCTTCCAACTTTTGCAGCAGAGACGGCGTCCTGCGGGAAGTTTTAACTCATTATTTTGAAGAAAAGTGCTAGCGATGGACATTACTTTGAATAAAGCACTTTGGATGTTTCTCTTGAAATTATCGTGTTTTCTTTGATCACAAAATCCGCATTATTAACCGGTTAATGATTAATTCGCATTATTAATTGGTTATTAATGCAGATTAATCGTTAACCAGTTAATAGTGCGGATACCGGTTAATAATGTGGATTAGCCCTACCTGGTTTGGCTCAGTGGATAGAGCGTCCGCCTGTGGACTCAAAGGTCCCAGGTTCGATTCCGGTCAAGGGCATGTACCTGGGTTTGGGGCACATCCCCAGCAGGGGGTGTCCAGGAGGCAGCTGATCCATACCAGTTAACATGTTACGCGCTTGACTGACACTGTACTTCCCGTCCGGAAGATAAAGCAGGCTGGGCGCTTAACGTGTTATTAATGCGGGATAACCATAATCAAAGAAAACACGATAATTTCAAGAAAAACATCAAAAGTGCTTTATTTAAAGTAATGTCCATCGCTAGCACTTTTCTTCAAAATAAAGTAATGAATTGAAACTCCCCGCAAATGCTCTTTTTTTGGCAGGAAATTCGACATTTCGTGGAAGGGGGCGAACAAGGGTTAGGCTGCCCTGCCTCGGGTTCCCACAGCCTGGTCAGCACCGCCACGACCCGTGGGGACCTGCGCCGGGGAGGGCAGGCTACACGTCCGTGTGCTGGGACAGCCTGGTCCCGGGCGCCGCCGGGGGAGCGCGGTGGCTGAGGCCACGCCCCCCGAGGCCGGGGGGTGCCGCCAGGTCCAGAGGCGGTTTCCGTGAGTACCAGGTGCTCAGGAGATGGTTCACCTGCTCCCGGCTGGAGACTGCGCGCAGGTGGGCTTTCCCACTTTCGCCGTCCATGCCCTCCGGGGACTCTGACGTCTCCGGGGGCTCTGACATCTCGGGGGGCTCGGCGCCCCTGCCCGCGGGGTCCCGCCCCAGCCCCCGCGCCCGCATCTCGCTCTGCATGCTGGCGAAGAAGTGCAGCACGCAGCGGTGTGCGAAGTCCCGCGCATGCTCACAGCACGTCTCGTCGAAGAGCTTCTGCTCCAGGTCCATGTAGTTGCTCCAGTATCTGCGCTGCAGAAAGACCGTCTGGTCGAAGCAGGGCCTCAGGCAGCGGGCCAGGAAGGCCGCCACGATCAGCAGCAGGGTGATGCTCCAGCCAATGGCCTGGGGGGCGGGGGAACAATGAGGTTAGGTGTGGGCGGGGCACAGCGCTGAATGGGGTGGCAGGCACAGGTGTTCCAGTCTCTTCTTTTACCTCTTCCATCCTTCCTCAGATATATTTATCTTCCTATTTAGTCATCCATCCAACCAACAACCTCCATCCATCCTCCCTTCAATATCTCATCCTTGCATCCATTCATTTCCCCAGCTATCTCTCCCCCCAACCATCCAGTCATCCATCCTCCCATGACTAAATATCTATTATATTCCTATCCAGACATCCTCTCAACCATCTTTCCACCTGCCCATCATCCATCTTCCTATCCAGCCACCTATTCTCCCATCCATTCACATTCTGATACTCTCATCCTTCCTTCAATTTGCCTATCCTAACCATTCATGTACCCACCATTAATCCTCCCAATTTTTCTTCTGGAAATCAGAATAGATCATTCTAAAGTAGGCCTCTTGGACATAAAATTGTTTTGACTGAAGAAAATTAAGAAGCGGCAAACATAGGAGAAGCTCTTTCTACCTTCCCCCTTTCTGCCTAAAGGCAAGATATAAATTCTCCTTTTACTGGAGACAGACTCTTATCAGCCCAGAGGCAGCACCAGAGGAACGTGTGAGCAAACCTTACTCTATTAAGGAGTAAGAAACTCCAGGCTTCCTCTCATGTATTTACCTTCCCACAGTTTCTGCCTTTGGGAGCCTAAAACCGCTTTCCTTTGTCCTGTCATTTCTCTACAAAGACACTACTCTGTGCTGAAGATGCTATATAAGCCAGAATTCTAAGCCACCACTTTGAGTTACTCTTTGGTTTAGGTTTCTCCTGCGTAGTGTCCACTGCACATGGTAATAAACTGTTTTCCTTTTGTTAATTTTTTTTGTTAGCATCTCAGCTGAAAACCTAAGGTGGGAAGAAGTAAAGTTTTGCCTTCCCTCCACTCCATCCATCAATCAATCAATCCATCCATCCATCCATCCATCATCCTTTCATTTTTTATTCAGTGCTCCATCCATCCTCACATATATTTATCCATCCTGTCTATGCATCCATCTATTCTATATTTTTGGGGAAGCACTGGGGACCCAGTCTTTTCTCTCAGAGAGCTCACACAAGTGGAGGAAACAACTAGTAGGTGATGACTGGCTATGTGCCATGTTAAGGGATGTACAGGGAGTCATGGGAATTTGCCCAACCTGAACTGGAGGGCTCAGGGAACAGTGAGGTTTAGGCTGAGACCGGAAGGATTAGTAACAGTTGTGCAGGATACAAACAGGGAACAGTGTTCCAGGCCAAGAGTGAGAAACCATTAGAGGCAGTTCTCTAAGGTTGGAGCGTTGCCCTCCTCTCTGCCCCTCCATAGCGACAGTCTCTTCAAGGCCTCACTTAAAACCAGAGCAACTGTGTGGACCTGGAACCGAAAACTCACTCCTTTCACACATAGACATATCTGAATTCTTATCATGTGTAGGTGTGATTTACAATCTCTCTCTTGGCCTCTCACAGAACCTTCCCTGCTTACCAGTTTAAAATACTTGTGTGAGCATTTTACATTCGAGGAGCATTTAATGTGCCTGATAAACGTACAGCTGCGGAGTAAGGACTCCAACCCTGGCCTGATGGAAA